CGGGGACCACTGATCGGAGTTTTCGGGCCACGGTCAAGCTCGGCGACGGCAGGGAGTTTTATGGCGAAAGTTTGTATCAGCCTAAGAATTTCACGTCTCGGCCTCTGCCGCTGTCTTACCATCGCAACACTTGTCCTGTTTTCGCCAATCGCGACGGCCTCGTGTTGTGTGATCCTAGCCGCGATAGCAATTCAAATCTTATTGGAGCCGGCGCAGCTGTGAACGTTGGCGCCATCCGCGTCAATTCGGAAGAACAGGGGTATACCATTCCGGCGAGTGATCTTCCATACCCGGGCTCTGCGGTATCCTTTGCCGATGGAGTAAAAATCAAAGAATACATAGCGTCGGTAAATAATCCTACAGCCTCAATCAGCTTCAACGGGACAGTTCTTGGCGTGTCTCCGGCTCCCACTGTCGCTTTCTTCTCGTCTCGCGGGCCAAGTTTAGTCGTCCCCGGTCTTCTAAAGCCAGACATCAGCGGCCCAGGTTTGAACATTCTCGCAGCCTGGAACAGAAATGCCAACTCAAGATCAAGCTACAAAGTCCCATTCAACGTCGTCTCAGGCACGTCGATGGCAACTCCGCATATCAGCGGCGTTGCAGCTTTAATCAAGAGCCTGCATTCCGACTGGTCGCCTGCTATGATCAAGTCCGCCATCATGACATCCTCAGATTTTCAGGATCGAGACGGCAACAGGGTCAAAGACGAGCAGCTCGAAGACGCGAGCTTCTACGCGATGGGAGCTGGCCATGTTAATCCCTCGAAGGCGGCTCGGCCTGGACTAGTTTACGACTTGGCCGCAGATGACTACATTGCCTATCTTTGTGGTGCGGTGGGAGAGAATGGTACTTCGATTGTCGCTCGAAGAAGCGTGAGTTGCTCCGGTGTGAAGACCGTAAAGGATTTTGAGCTCAATTATCCAACGATAACGGTGGCCGCTGCTTCAACTTCTGGCGGTGTGACGGTGAATCGAACGGTGACGAATGTTGGGAGTGCAACGGCGGAGTATAAGGCGGAGGTTGATGTGCCGGAGGGGGTTAACGTGACTGTGACGCCGGGTACCCTGAATTTCTCGAAGGTAAATGAGAAGTTGACGTTTTCTGTTAGCGTGACGGCGGCCGCTGCTGCTGAAGGGAATTTGAAGTGGATTTCGGGTGATACTGTGGTGAGGAGCGCTTTGGTCGTCACTGCATAAAAAAAATTGACCCGATGTTGTTGGTCATGTCCTCAGTAACTTAGGTGATGGATTATTCGATGTTAGAATGATTTTGTTTCGACGTGATTTAGCCATTGTTTGATGGAATTAATAGTCAAATTAAAAGTTATATTAAAATTGCTAAATTTACTACATAATGGATTCAAATTCAAAATCACAAGCAATATATTTATGATGGTCTTCTTCTTCTTCTTCTTCTTCTTCTTCTTCTTTTAAAGAAAAGAAAGGTGAGGCATAAACCCTAGCGTTTGATCTTTAAAAAGAAACTAACGGAACATCCTAATAGGGTGAGATATATACTAACATTTATGAAATATACATATATTTTGGTCTCTCAAAAGGAAAGCAAAATACAATGACATCAAAGCCAAAACAAAAGCTCAATCAGGCTAATTTCCAGTATGTTTCGAATTTTACTCTTTTATGCTTTTTCTAAAATTATATTTTGACTTTGATTATGTGTCCGAAAGGGAAGTGAAGATGGGAAAATTGCACATTTAATTAACTGAATGCAAAAAAGGAAAAGATTAAAACGGTGTTAGCACCAACTAATTTCACCATGCGTGTTCTTTCTACAGTCTTGATTTTTGAAGTAGAGGGTGTAAACTAAAAAGGATAATGAGCAGATTGTTGAGATCAGGTGAAGACCAAACCTCCGCAGGCGAGCACGATGTCGAGACGGATCAGAGGCGAGCTCAAGGCGAGTTCGAGATCAGCGGCTTCAGGCGGATCCATCGCAGGCGAGCTCGAGATCCAGAGCTGCAGGCGAATTTCGTGGCTGGCGAAATCGTGCTGGCGACTTCTTCCGCAGGCGAGTTCGAGGCTGGCGGATTTTGCACAGGCGACTTCGTCATCCGCTGCAGGCGAGATCGATATCCAGGCTGTCGACAGCCTGTCGACAGCCCAGCTAGGGTTTCCCTATAAAAGGGAAACCCTAGGGCTCGAGCATAGTGCAGCAGCTTTTCCCTCTCTCTCCCTTCTTTGATTCCTGACGGCGGCGATCTTCTTCTTCCATCGGTTCCATTGGAGTACAGAATACCATAGGAGGTATGGTGCGGAAAGGAGGTAAAACTCTCACATCTTAAAGTTTTCGGTTGTGTAGCTTACGTGCATATTAGTGATCAAGGCAGGAATAAGCTTGATCCCAAGTCAAAGAAATGCACTTTCATCGGCTATGGTAAAGATCAGTCCAGCTACCGCATTTGGGACAACGAAAACAAGAAAGTGATCAGGAACAAAGATGTGATATTCAATGAGAAGGTGATGTACAAGGACATGCACAAGACAGATGACTCAGAGAGCGAGTAAATATTTATAGATGCAGATGATGTCCCGAGTAACTTCTCGGAAGAATCCAATGCAGAGGGTCCTCAGCCAGAAGAGCATGTTGGACAAGATGGTGCGCAGGAGCCCGACGCACCAACTCCAATATTAAGAAGATCTTCTCGTCCTCCAGTACCCAACAGGAGATATATGAACTATCTGTTGCTGACAGATGGTGGGGAGCCTGAAAGCTTTGATGACGCTTGTCAGGGTGGAGATGCGAGCAAGTGGGAGCTTGCCATGAAAGATGAGATGAAGTCTCTCATCTCAAACCAGACGTGGGAACTAGCTGAGTTGCCCACGGGTAAGAAGGTACTCCACAATAAATGGGTGTACCGGGTGAAAGAGGAGCAGGATGGTTCCAGAAGATATAAAGCCTGGTTAGTTATCAAAGGATTCCAGTAGAAGGAAGGAATTGACTACACCGATATTTTCGCTCCCGTGGTGAAGCTAAATACTATCAAGACCGTGATGAGTATTGTAGCAATTGAAGATCTTCATCTCGAACAGTTAGACATGAAGACGGCGTTTCTTCACGGAGATCTAGAAGAGGAGATATACATGCACCAGCCAGAAGGTTTCTCAGAAGAAAAGAAGAAAAAGAACCTGGTGTGCAGACTCAAGAAGAGCTTGTATGGCCTGAAACAAGCCCCAAGACAGTGGTACAAGAAGTTTGACGGCTTCATGCACAAGGAAGGTTTCCAGAAGTGCAACGCCGACCACTGTTGCTACTTCAAAAGATATCAGTTCAGTTATATCATCCTACTGTTGTATGTTGATGATATATTGATTGTAGGAGCAGGTATGGAGGATATCAGGAGTTTGAAGCAGCAGCTGTCAAAGGAGTTTGACATGAAGGACTTGGGTCCAGCGAAGAAGATCCTTGGAATGCAAATCACGAGAGATAAGAAGAGAGGTCTCTTGCAGTTATCTCAGGCGGAGTACATCAACTGTGTTTTGCAGAGATTCAACATGAGCGACGCCAAGCCAGTGAGCACACCCTTGGCCAGCCATTTTTGTCTATCAAAGGATCAGTCTCCTCAGTCAAAAGAAGAGAAAGAGAGTATGGCTCAGGTCCCTTACGCCTCAACTATCGGAAGTTTGATGTACGCAATAATCTGTACGAGACCAGACATTGACCATGCAGTGGGAGTGGTCAGCCGGTTTATGTCGAATCCAGGAAAAGCTCATTGGGAAGCAGTCAAGTGGATTCTGAGATATCTATGAGACACCACACAGAAGTGTTTGCACTTTAGTAAGGGAGAAGTGGAAGTGCAAGGATACGTAGATGCAGACATCGGCGGTGAAGTCGATCACCGAAGAAGCACCATCGGCTATGTATTCACTGTTGGAACTACAGCTGTTAGTTGGATGTCACTGATACAGAAGATTATCACTCTGTCCACTACAGAAGCTGAGTATGTTGCAGTGACTGAAGCCAGTAAAGAGATGATATGGCTTCAGGGTTTGTTAACAGAGCTGGGATTCAATCAGGAGAAGAATGTTTTGCACAGTGATAGCCAGAGTGCGATACACTTGGCCAAGAATTCCGCATTTTATTCTAGAACGAAGCATATCGCGCTTCGGTACCACTTTATCAGATCCATGTTGGAAGATGACGTGTTGAAACTGGAGAAGATTCCAGGAAGTAAGAATCCAGCAGACATGTTAACAAAGACAGTGACCGTTCAGAAACTGGAGTTGTGCGCAACTTCAGTTGGCCTTCATGCATAGATGATGAGGGCGGAGCCACACAGGAGGAGGAGCTTGATGAGATAGCCTACTGTCGGCGGTTTAATCTCCAAGTGGGAGATTGTTGAGATCAGGTGAAGACCAAACCTCCGTAGGCGAGCACGATGTCGAGGCGGATCAGAGGCGAGCTCAAGGCGAGTTCGAGATCAGCGGCTTCAGGCGAGGCCATCGCAGGCGAGCTGGCGAAATCGTGCTGGCGACTTCTTCCGCAGGCGAGTTCGAGGCTGGCGGATTTTGCACAGGCGACTTCGTCATCCGCTGCAGGCGAGATCGATATCCAGGTTGTCGACAGCCTGTCGACAGCCCAGCTAGGGTTTCCTTATAAAAGGGAAACCCTAGGGCTCGAGCATAGTGCAGCAGCTTTTCCCTCTCTCTCCCTTCTTTGATTCCTGGCGGCGGCGATCATCTTCTTCCTCTTTCTTCTTTTTCTTCAGCGTCTTTTCTCCAGAGCCCTAAGCTCAGATTTTGGGGGGGATTAAAGAGGGAGAAATTAAGAGAGAGAACCAAGAGGGTAATTAAGAAGAGGGAATCTTTACTGTAGCTACAGTAGAAAGATTGCATTTATTTGAGGAATCTCAAGTTTGAGATTCGCTCTGAATTGTAATTTCTTGTTAGATTAATAAGAAATTTACTGTGTGGCTCCCGAGGACGTAGGCAGTTGCCGAACCTCGTTAAATCTTGGTGTACTTTCTCTATTCTGCGTTTCTGTTGCATTAGGGGTTTCGGCGTTAAATTCCCAACACAGATATCAATATACGACTTTTTTTTCCTTCATATTGTCAGTATCTCTATATTTGGCATAATAAGTTACACCAAGGGTTTAATTTGGATACTTACCGATATCGTGAACTTTCTTGAATATCTTTTAGATAAGTTCAACATTATACCAATGTCAATAATAGTAACAATAATAATAATTATAATAATAATTATTATTATATAATAATGATGATAATAATAATAAATTTTATTTATTTGTACAAAACTAATTAAATAGATCTAAGCCATAAACACTGATATAGGGATATTGAGGACAAGTGATGCTTATTTATAGTTTAGTGCATTGGCATTTGACTAATTTTATTTTGCGGTATAGAAAGTCTACCCCACCCCGCCGCCGCACCCCCTCCTCTCTAATATTCTAGTTAGCAGGGCGCACCTGCCAATCTTCGATCGGGAGTTTATGCAAAAGAATGCTATATTTTATATATGCAGGATTTAGATTAACAAAGACTATATTTATAATATAAGTTTATGTGCAACTTTTACAGTAACGGTCAGTATGTATGGAGATAATAGTCGATATCTAAAGTGTTTTAAAAATTTTGAAATTACTATATTTATCATAAACGTAGGTTAAGGTAAAGTGTATATAAATTCCTAAACTTAGGGGTGTCCATCCAGGTCGATCCGGCCCGGAAAATCGGGCCCGGGCCGGGCCCTTTTTTTTGTTTTTTAAATATTTTTATCTCTTTAAAATTTCAATAATACATAAAAAAATTACACAAAATTTTAATAAAAACAATAATATTATTAATCACTTGAAATTACATAAATTACAAATACAAAAAACTTTAAAAATGACAGATGATAAAAATAATTTCTTTATTAATAATCAGTAAATCATTTACAAGTATAAATTTATTTCAGAATTCGTCGCATCACAATAGATAAGTTTGGAAAATCTTGTTGCAAAACGCACACTTAGCCTTCTGGGTTAGGATTCTATCGTTTTCATCATTGGTTACGTTTATCTTCTTGAAAAAATTACACACATAGGATCTCGGCCTTTTAGGAGCTCTTGGTGTAGAATCGTCGCCACCGGATTCGGGACCAATATCGGTTGGATTGGTAAGAGCAGCTGTAGTAGGAGGACTCATTTCGGGAGTTAGGTTTTGCTCTTCATAATTAAATCCGGAAGGCATTTGATTGAAGAATTAGAGAGGTAAAGCGATTATTAGAGAGTATAAGAG